CGTCTAATTCAAAACTAAATGCCGTGCCCCTCTCGTTCCCGTCCTGAGCTCGCCGGCGAGGCTCAGCTGACGGGGCGATTTCCACACGGTCCCCGAAAAGCTCAGAATGCACCTCGGCTCTCTGGGCTCGGGAGCGCGCTTGTTTCTGCTGACGCTGCGACCTCGCAAGAGCTGGCTTAGACCCTGGCACACCTGTGGCGAGAGGTCTTGTCTCTTGGGGAAGCTTCGCTGGCAATCTAAGGGTGCGAGTCTCCAACTGGGCCCCAGCACATCGGAGTTCTACAGACAGACCTATGTGGGGTTTCCACGGTACGCTAGCTACAGGTGACACAGACTTAATGAGGGCTCTGGCGGACTGGCTGCGGCTACTGGCGCGCGGCTTCTTCCTCCGTGCCCTGTGGCTGTTCTGCGGCCTCCGGGCTCTCATGAGCCGACTTCCCCCTCTCGTCGTTCCTCTTCGTGTCCCTCGTCTTTCTCGCCTTTCCTGGCCTCGTGGCCGGTCCGCTTGTCGTCCTCGTCGTCGTCGTCTCGTTTTCCTCCTCCCCACGTTCTCGCCGACTTGCCTTGGTTGTGCCGGCCTCGGTGCGACGCTGTAGCATCGAGGGGCCCCCTTCCCATCAGTTGGGAAGCTGGCGATTTCTTGTTTCAAGTGCGCATGGCCCACACAGCTCGGACACAACCACATGCCCCTGTCCAGAGGGCTCTGGCGGACTGGCTGCAAACCAGGTAGTCGATATGGGACCCTTTTTCTCCCGCAGAACAAGTGGTCTCGACTTGTGCTTGCACCACCTGCCCGCCTACGGCGGTCAAAAAGCCTGAGTGGGAAAGTGCCGGCGCTGGCATGTTAAAGCCACCTGCTACAATCCACGGCGCTCTGAGAGAATTCAACAACGCTCCGAGGTGGTGAAAACGCAACAAGTTCTCGCCAGTCTCTTAAATTGACGGGAAAGCGTGAAACATGAGAAGGACCAGCACGTAGCCTTGGAACATTATTTTGACATGAAACCGCCCCAACAAGCCTGGCCCTTTGCCTGGAGGCCTTGGCATTCTCAGGAGCTGCTAACTGACTGCACTGGAGGTGACCGTGGGCAAGCACCCATTCACCCCCTTTCATTTGATTTGCTAGATCTACCTTTACAAACTACTTCATTGGTCGAGCGGGCTTTCTTGGCTAACAGGCGGAGACTACTTTTGCGGGCTTTGGCATCCCACTTCCGAACCTCACTTGCTCCAACATGAATCTCCGCAAGACCGAATAACTGATATGATGATTTGTGCGATTCAATGAATCGCCAGCACTTGTCCCCCATGGCAGTTCCACTCGCGAAGAACAGCTTGCTGGTCACTTCCTCGTCGGCTGGCGCCGCCCCTGGAGTCTCTCCCTGAGACTCTGGCTCCTGCCGAGGCTGACCTTCTCTGTTCTCCGCGTCATCCTTTCAATGCGGCTCCTTAGCTCCCAGCGGGCCCTTGCCCTTGCCGCTGCCCATGGAACTCTGGTTCCGACCTTTTCCACCAGCACTACGAGCTTGGGTTTGAGCCGCGAACTTGGCTTCCGACAACTTCTGAGCCGTCTGCTTGACCTGCTCCTTCTGCGCCTCCTCTGCGACTGTGGCCTCGCCAGGCGGCTCCTTTGCAGCGCCGGCTGCCGTGCTGGACCCGGCCGCGGCGGACGTAGCGGCCGCCTCCATGGGAGGGGCCGTCTGCGTCGCTCCTCCGCCCTTGGGCGCGGTCGCTGGGTCCTGCTCAGGAGAGCTGCCATCAGCCTTGCGCTTCTTGATAGCTCGGCTGTTGGCCTTGTCGCGAAGCTCCGCACTCTCCGCGAGCCACGTCTCGATCTCTGCGTTGTAGCCCGTCACCCTGTCACGGAAGGCTGTCAATTCAGCCTGGATGGGGATCAGTCTGTCCTTCTCCTCCTGCTCGTACTCCTTGGTGTCCAGGTCCGCGCACATGCTCTCGTCCCACGTGATTCTTGTCGTTCTGGCTCTCCTCGCTCTGCGTCGTGACACCCTCGGTCATTGCCAAGGCTGCCGTCGCTTGCTGCTTGACCAGCGTCGCTTGGGCCAAAGTTTCGGCTGTCGCCTTTTCCTTGGCTTCAGCAACAGAAAGTGATTCACGTAGCCTGATCACGTTTGATACTGCTTGTCCATGCTTGAAATCTGCGTCCTTCCAGGCGCCCACTGCCTTGCGTAACGTCTCTGCTGCGCCCGCCGAAGCCGCCATGCCCTCTGAGGCCTGGCTGCTCTGCATGGCCGCGAGCTTCTGCTGGAGCGTGCTCTTCAGCGCGACGTCCGTCGTGGTCTGGATGGTGAGCTGCAGCGCCTCCATATTAGTGACGAGCTTGGCCTGGATGCCCTGTGGATCCTAAACATGACCTCTTTTGCCACTACATTTCGTACCCTCGTCCGCTGTCTTGGGCTTGTACAGCTTGACCTTCTTGTAGCACTCGCTGCACTGAAGATTGTTGGACACCGGGATACTGTTCCACTCGCATCGACTGTAATGATGGCACTTGGACCATCCTGTGGTCACGTTCGGTCCTTCCGTCACGAATTCGATCTGAGGTTCTGAACTCCAGACTTAGTCACCAATCAGCACGGTTTCAACTGGGATGTGCAGTGACTGGTGTGCCCCAAGCACCTACGCGCAGGTATTGGAGTCGGCTCCAGCAAAATGCTCGAGCCCAAGTTGGTTGAGGAGGAGGAGGAAGAGGAGGGGGAGGAGGAGCAGAAGGAGGAGGAGGAGGCGGAGGAGGAGGAGGAGGAGGGCGCCATCGACATGGAATGTGAGGGCCACAAGGTCCGCCGGCTCGACGCCCGGGTCGCCCGCGCCCGCCCCCTCACTCTTATCCGCAATTGCGGGGTGCTGCGTATATCTATATATATATATATACATACATATATATATATATATGCAAATGGGTTGTCCCCGCCCCCCCCCCAGGAGCGTCCCACACCTCCGGGGGCAACTCCCGGCACCGCGCCCTCGGGATTTCCAGGGAGGCCCCAAACGCCCAAGGACGGCCCAAAACGCCCCGAAGGAGCCCCCAGAACGCAAAAGGACGGCTCAAAAAGGTCCCAAGCAACCCAAAACAGACTGGGCCTCCAGGCTCCCAGGAGGCCCCCAAGAGGCCCTAAGAAAGCTCCGACAGGCGTCCTGGGAGCGCCCGAAGAGGCCAACATCGTTGAGTTTCATTTGTTCTTTTCAAGTTTTTGGCTTTCTTGCCTTTTCGAGCTTTCAACGCTGACGCTGTCTTGGCACTCTCTTGGGTCGTCTTCGTGTCCTCTTGGCTGCTCTTGAAACCACAGTAAAAATCGAGACCCCATGAGTTCATCCGTCCAGTCTAGCTAGAACGTCAGCGAGCGCGCCAAGAAAGAGACAAAAGAGAGGACCTGTCCAAGCCTTTCGAGCGCTTTGCCTCAAGATGCCTCCAAGGTTCTCGCAAAGGCTCCCGAGGCGCCCCCCAGATGCCTTCAGAGACTCCCGGGAGGCGCCCAGGAGGCACCAAGAGTTTCCCTAGAGGCCCCGAAAGACTCCCAAGAAGCTGCCAAAAGTCCCCCAGAGGCGTCCCAACAGTCCACGGCCTGTATCCCGGAAGCTTCTGACCCACGGCCCAGGCATGGCAAGTTGAACAAAAAGGTTGTTTCAGAATTCTTGTTGTTAGTCAAACTTATCTTTTGCATAGTTTTGCACAACAGACCGTAATGAATGCTCCCGTCACCACCGAAGAAAGATCCCAGGAAGCCTTCGAAGGCCCCACCCAAAGGAATGTGTTGATTGTGTTGTTTCCGCAGTTCCCTTTCTACACGCTTCTGAGGCTTGCGCAGGGACACCAATAATGTCGTCAGATGCACAAGGTATTTCAATACTTGAGATTCCATGCGTCAGCCCGTCGAGCCTAGCCAGAACTCGAGAGCGCGCGAAGCGGGCACGATGGTTCTAGTTCATATGTATGTATGTATAGATATGTATGTATGTATCGACATTTCGGCGAGAACTGAGTTCATGTTCATCTTCAGCTTCTTGTTTGGCTTGGTTTCTTCTGGGTTGACCACTGTCATCGTTAATTCTTCGATTGAAGGTGAACTGCTGAAACCCGCTGCACTTAGGCCGTGGGGCGCCCAAGCCGAGGGAGGAGGAGGAGGAGAAGGACGATAATAAGGGGAGGAAGAGGAGGAGGAGGAGGAGGAGGAGGAGGAGGAGGAGGAGGAGGGGGAGGAGGAGGGGGAGGGGGACGAGGGAGGGGGAGGAGGACGAGGAGGAGGAGGAGGAGGCGGAGGAGGAGGAGGAGGAGTGCTCGCGCCACATTCGACATCTCATCCCTCCCTCCCATCTCTTCCCATTGCGTTGTGTTTTGTCTACCTGCGGACGCGTGTCGTAGCCGACAAGGGGCTCAAACAAAAAGACCCCTTATCGTGTTTTACGTAACCGAAGAAGGGGAGCTGCGCACATGAAGGGGGAGGGGGAGGTGGATGAGCGTCAGGAACAGGAAGAGGAACAGGATGAAGATGTAGAAGGAGGAGGACGAGGGGGGACAGCAGCAGCAGGAACTGGAGTTGGAGGAGCGGGTGGAGAAGAAGAACTATGGGAAGGTGGAGGAGGGGAAATGAGGGGGGCGACAACGATGAAAAAGGATTCGGATCAAACAAATGGCCCGCGCTGGGGCTAGAACGCCATTCTGAACGACGGGACCACAGCGCCGATCCGAAAAGGAGGTCCACGCTGCAGCAGGAACACTATCTCGAGGCACCGAGGCACACGACAAACCATGTGATATCCTGCGTGCAGAAGAAAAGCAGCACGCGGAGAGAACCGGCGATCTTCTGGACGGAGTCAGGGGAGAGAGGAGAGCAGTATTCACAACGTGTTAATGTTGAGGAGGGGCAGGAGAGGATGAGTGCAGGAAGGAGGAGGAGGAGCAGGAGGAGGAGGCGGAGGAGGAGGAGGAGGTGGAGCAGAGGAGGAGGAAGAGGGGAGTGGAGGAGGAAGAGGAGCGCGCCGAG